TGGCAGCTTTGTGGTCGTCCACCTGCATCTTTCTCAGAAACACCTCACAGTTCTTTGTGGTCACTCAGTGTTTCACAGCAGAGGTGTTAAGATGAGGAAAAAAGTGTAAGAAGATGCTGCGGTTTATAAACCAGAACATCGGTGCCATGTAGCTCCTGCTGCTCATGATACATCACATTTCTCAGGTCACTGAACCGTGTGAAGAACAGAAAGAAAGTTTTACATGTTCTTGTAATTTCTTCACTATATTGGACGATAAACTCTGGGAAGTCACACAAACAGTGTTGGGGAGACAAATTCCTCTGGTTACAAATGTGACCCTTGTCCACTGTCATGGACTCTCGTGATGAAACATTAGAAACAGTAAAAATGTTTTACTTTGTGTAGCTGCACTGGTGTAGTTGTTGTACCTTCAATGATTTTTGTTTTCATTTTGCAGATATTTATTTTGTAGTTGTGGTCTACTCAGCAGTGAGAAGTGAAGACGTCAGTTCTGGACAAACAACCATCAGAACAAGCAGGCCCAGATACAGCTGCTCTTTATCTTTGACTTTGCATAGAGACAAGCTCGCTGCTCACCCTGTTTGCATCCATCATGCTAAGATAAGCTGATCAAACCTCATCCTGGCTCAAACTCAGAGCTCTGACCCAGTTGAACTAGAATGTGTGTGATGCAGAAAGGTTGGAGGTCTTGATTGAACTACAAAGCTTGTAATCATGTTTCCTGTTGTTTGAACTGTGTGTGTTTGTGTTCAGACTTTAAACCAGAGCCAGACGTCGTCTACTCGTCACTGAAGGAGTCCACCAGTCCAACCACTGACGTCCAGCTGCTGGTCTCTAACTGGTCCCCCAGCACCTCAGACCAGAGTAAAAAAAAAAAAAAATAGATAAAACACATTTTTATATGTTTTATGTCATTTTTTGTGTATTTTTTGTTGGAATATTTAATATTTTTTTCAGGCTAAATGAGTAATGTACAAAGGGCCTATACACCAGTAAAGACTAGTTAGTGATATAATAATTCAGAATGTCTTCAGTAACAAACACATTGTGGTGATGAGTATAACAAAGTTAGAAGAGATGGCGCACAAATCTGCATCTGGTTAAAAGGAAAAAACACACAAACATGAAAGAGTTTGCCAGATTTGTGCTAAATGAAATAGCTGGGAGTGGAAATATGGATATTTACAGTCTTGTGCAATAAAGAATATGTGTGTTGTATCACAAGACACAATGAGACCAATGTGTTTCACTGACTCATCTACACAAGCATTTTGTAGAGGGTATAAGCACTGTGGCAGTTGTTCGGCTGGAAACGACTGTGAGGGCCAAATTTCAACTTTGTCAAATATGAGTTTGGAGCTTAATCTCAAAATTGACAATGTTTTTTTTTTTCTTCTTAATACTCTCTCATAGCAGCATGACAGTCGTACTAATCTATTAACAACCAATTTGTGCTGCAGCTATTTTCAGAAACGAATCAATGTCCATTTAGGTAAGAGGGATGATTTTACATCTCAGTGGGTATAACACTCCTGTGACTTTGCTGGGGGCATCTTAAGATCACCACAGATGATGTGTTTTTAACCTTCTGTGAAAAGTAAAGTCTGAAATTCTGTGAAACTCAGGAGGTCCTGACAGTGCTCTTCTTCTGTTCTGCACAACAGATTTAACAAAAGGTGAATCTGGTGAAGAATCAGTCACGTGCCATATTATACTCAGTGCATTACGTATACGTATGCATAATTTATGATCCCACAAATGTGTCTATTCATAATTATGTAATGTTTCACGTTTACCACATGGTGGCAGTGTTTTCACACTGAATTAATTAATATTTTGCCCTCAACACCATAGATTACTGTTCACATTGTACTTCAAGATGTTTAATGGCTTTTTTACCGAAGAATTCGGAAACTATTAGTTAAATATATAAAAGTAAAATAATGCTTTTTCTGATTCCAGTGAGTTGCAATAATTTATAATTAGAGGTTACAAATGATCAGATGGCCATCACCTGGAAGGTTTAGTGTTGATTTATAGACTAATGGTTTTCAAATACAATCCAAATCTAATTTATTTATATAGCACATTTAAAAAGTGGAAAGTTTCCCCAAAGTGCTGTACAAAAATAAAACAAGATATAAAACAAAAGATAAAACCATTCATATTAAAACAGGCACATATAAGGGAAAAAGCATATCAACTCAAACCAGTCTAAATGCTACTGAAAAAAGTTGTTTTCAAAAGAGACTTAAAAGCAAGAAGTGAAGATGCCTGTCTAATATTTAAAGGCAACGTATTCCAAAGTTTGGGAGCCACAATTGAAAAAGCTTGTTCTCCTCTAAGTTTCAACCAGTTTTGGGAAACCGAAAGCAGCAGGTCAGCTGATCTAAGGTCCTTCAAACCTTTAGATCAGTGTTCCAAGAATACTGTGGTTGGTCAACAGCATCACAGGCTGCAGTAAGATCTAAAAGCACAAGAATTACAAAACTTACGCAATCATTTGGTAGAATTATGTAATTAAAAGCCCGTAAAAGTGTTGTTTTAGTGGAGTGTAGATGTTTAAAACCAGACTGAAAAAACACCATTACTATCCAAAAACATAATCAGTTGGGAAAAAACGATTTTTTCCAATAGCTTTGAAAGGAAAGTGAGTTTTGAGTCTAACATTTGAGCAAACCAGCAGAGAAGGCATAATCTGGGTAGGGCTCTACAGCTGTACAGTTAAGGTATTAAAGCTGGCAATCCTCGGAACAGACGTGATCACTGTAATTCGCCAAAACATAAAGTTTTAAATCTTTGTTTGTGATACTCAGGAGCCTCCAGTTCATGGATCAAAGCGGAGGGGAACTGTACAGGAGTGAGGAAGTATTTTAAAAAGATTGAATAAGATTATATAAAACTGGGCATGAGCGAAACGATGACACATACAGAGCGGAACAGACGTGAAGTAGTTAAAATCAACCCAACTAATTAAAATCCAATCAGAATTTCAGTCAAAATTTCAGCCAAAAACATCGGAAAGTAATTTATAATATAACTTTGTTAACACTTACAGTAGGCAACAATCACAACAACAGCCGTTCTGTTTCAAAACGTTTTGAACTGTGTGGTTTTATCGCTTTCACGCAGCTGAGCTAAGCATCTTGTTAACAGCTAACCAGCTCTGTTTGCTCTACTGACACATGAGGTCACGTCACTGTCAGATGTTTCATGAACACAGAATAAAAACGTAGAAGGAAAGAAGCTTTGTGTGTTTTCATTCTGCTGTACAAACCAACAGCTCATGTGAAACAAAACACACATCTGTACAATAAACAAACACTCACTGCTGAACCAGTTTGACCAGGACACTGACAAACACACGACACACACAGACACACAGACCACACAACACACACACACATCTTTTCCACCAACACAGCTGCTGAGGATTTGATAAATAATCAGGATATTATTTAAATAATAATCAATAATAATAATAAAAAATTCCATCGGCCTTTTAGTTTTACTTTATTCTGAAACTTGTTCTGAGCCACATTTCCCACATTTCCCACACGGTCATATGAGCCTTTAAGTTTCCCAGAATGCACTGGTTTACCCTGGACTTGTTTCTGTTCCTCACAGATGGTTCAGTTTATTAAAGCTTTGATAAAAATTTTGTCTCTAGATTGTGACAGTTGTAGTGGTTTGAGCTTTTCATAGAACTTCTTTTTTTTTGTTTAGTTTTTTTTAGCCATTGAAATTTCATAACTTGTGAAGTTCTGAGGGAACAAATCGTAAACGGTAAATGGTTCTTATACAGCGCTCTGTACTCGGAGTAGAGTAATGAATGACGTCCATGACACAGACGACACCAGAAACAACTGTGGTGGTTTTAAACAGAGTAAGTGTTTTATTTACATTTTCCATTCATGTTGTCTGAGTATGTGATCAGACCTGCTGGATTTATGATCAATTTTTTTTTTTTTGTTTGTTTGTTTGTTTTTGTTTTCAAATGAAAAAATGCATTCACTCAAGACAGTGGATATATTTTGAACAGTCACTCTCTCGGGGTTTGTTGCATGTGAAGAATTAAGAAAAGAGCCTGTTGTTTTTGTAAATAACCGTGTTGTACAGGACATTGTACATGATGTTTAGGTATCTAAAATGTTGCTATGTCATTTTTTTTTCTTTGTTGCAGGTGAACTATCAAACTTAAGAATATGATTTAATAGAAGAAATAGAGCTTTAAACAGAATCACCTTTTCATATTCAAAATTATTAAAGTTTTAAGGTGCATGTTTCCTTAGTGTACTTTGAGGTACCTCAAACATATTTACCCAGTGACCAAAAATGACCTTATCAGCATTTGCACTAAGTTTGTGTTGCTGTGGAGAGTGAATATAATTGGTTTTGGCACAGACTATAAGTTTTTGAGCTTGAGGTTTGCAGTGTTGTAGACTTTGATTGGTTTGTATTATATAGTAGTATGTGTTTATATAAAGATGAATAAAACAAAATATTATAATATTTTAATATGGCAGCCAGACATTGTTCAACCCCAGTGTATAAAACACAAATCAGTCAGTGTCAACAGAACTAAGGGTTTTTAGTAATATAGTCTTAATTCCGATGCTTTTATTGTGTCATAGTGATGCACCTCACAGTGTATGTATTTTTCTGATGTCATTGTACATGATAGTCAAGTCTTTATTCATAAAACACATTTAAATGTAACAGACGGTGACAAAGTGTTGCACATATTTAATGTTCCATGTTAGACCCTCTATTAAAAGAGAGTCATATTATAGTAAGATGAGCTTTTTTCCTATTTATATGGGAAACAGCTCCAGGGATTTACTGAAACAAGTGCAAACGTCTATGTAAATACAGACAGTACAAAAGATGGACATAGCTACCGTGATGTCGTCCACTGATTTCTGAATTCGGTGAAACCTCTGCATGAGTGTTTCCATCTACGCTGTCCTGGTTGCATAAAATTTTTTATTTAATATGACCCAAATTTCTTTGGATCTTGGCTGCCTTTTGTTCTTTTCTCTGTCAAAATGATCTAACACAGCTCTGAGGAAGCCAATCCATGATTGATAGAGTTTCATTTTTCATTTTTTTGTATCCACATGTGCTTTTACTGCATTGACAGTGAGTTTGGGATCATTGTCTTGCTGAAAAATTAAGGCTTTACCAATAGAGGCTATTGCATGATTGAGAATGTGCCTTTCACGTTTCATTTTAAAACACCATTCAGATCGCTCATTCTACCATGCCTGTATACCTGCGGTTTCAGTCAATTTCAGAGTCTGTAGCAAATGAGCTGTTGCTACCCCAGACGCTGTGGTGAGAAACACGGCAGGAAAGGAGAACTGAGAACACAGCCTCATCAGGAGCTTCTAAATAGCGCTGCCTTCTAGCAACAAATATTGCATCTATCTAGACAAACTTTAGCTGTTTTGCATAGCAAAGCTAGTTAAATACATAGTTAGCCCTGCTGTCATCATGGAGAGAACTAAAAAAAACTACCTATGGTCTTCAGTGGAATAACAGATTGGAGACTAAAGGTGGACAAAGCTCTCCAGAACAGCTGTGGGTTTATGGTTGTGACAGCTAATATTTTATTATGACACACTTATATGTAGTTACCCAAACTTCTTCTTTCATCAACATTTATGGGAAAGTCAACCAAGTAGCTCAATCACAGATCTCTTATCTTAATCGGTGACTTATTTAAATCTGAATTTAATCTTAGTCAGATTCAAACTCTGTTTCTGTTTTCACTGAAAATACAAACAGTCTCAGACATTTAGCAGAAAGCAGATTATCACAACTAGATAACAGAGGAATGTTTGCTTTACTCTGATCAGTTTCTCTATTTGTCTGTGTTTTTGTGTTTGTGTCTGCAGGCAAGATTTAACTGTTAGGAGTAGGAAGGTTGTATTTATGCCAGGTCCACAGAGGAATAAAATCCATTTTTTAGAATCGTTTCTAGCCATTAAAATAAATTTTAACTTCATTATAAAAGAGTAATCATATAAAAATCATATCATATCATATAAAACATATACATAAAATATAGACTTCACCTGCATATAGTCTTTGTGCTCTGGGCCAAAGTACAGGTGGAATTACACATTATTACTCTGCTGTTTACAAAAGAACTTACATTTTGAGATATCTTTATTTATTCATTTATTTATTTATTTTAATACGTCTCCCTGGTCATAAATATAAACATCCACCAGGAGGTGCTGCAGCACCTGCTCCCCACAGTCTTGGGCTAAAATGTGTCCCTATTTTATTTCCACAGACTGAATAAAAAGAAATGACCCAAAATAATTTACTGACAAGAGGAAGACCATAAAATGTTTCCTATCTAATCTTCCTATCTAACTGTCAGCACAGAGAAAGCAAGTTAATATTTACTCATTTCTCTTTGAAATATTTAGATCTGTTGGCAGGCAGAAATAACCACAGGTGTGTCAGCTTTGACCTCTAAAATGATTTTACATCCAGACGAGTACAAAACAACAGAAAGAAAAATAATGAAGCTCCAAGTTCAAATAGAGCTGATGAATGTGCTGAACACCAAAGAGGAAATCTGATATGATTCACACACAGACACATGATGCTACTGCTGAACCAGTCTGACCAGGATACTGACACACAGCTATTTACCATCAACACAGTGGTGCTGAGGAGCTGATCAATAATTTAATCATTGAATAAATGACCTTGATTTATTGGTTTTACATTGTTTCACTAATGTAAATGTATTTAGTTACTGCAACAATCAGTTTCAAATTTTCTTTTATATGAACAGTTTATGCTGGATCTCACTGTTATATTAAAACAATTATAATAATAATACATAGACTTTGTTAGTTTGAACTAATGATCCTGATAATCAGTAACAAGATGTTTTTATTGTATTTGATTCTATTGTATTCCAACAGACGGGCAGGTGGAGCTAACCACAGCTATGTTCGCTCTAACAGGAGCTTTAGCTGCACTGAAGTGAAATCATTTCACAGTCAGACATGAGCACAAAACAAGAACAGGACAGGAAATAAAAGGTGGGCTTAGAATAAAAGCAGACAGAAACAGTAACAGATGCATCTGTTGTTTGTCAGTAACTGTGAGCGACACTCTGACAGGCTGTAACTTGTGCTGGACAGTCTCCTGTCCCACATGGTGATACGCTGAATTATCAGAGCACAGATCAAACATCCAGAGCACCTCTGCTTGTTCCTGTTTCTACATCACAGACATGAACCTGCTGAAGTTTACTCACATCATTATACATCATACTGATCCTCACACACTGACAGAAATCACGTTCTGTCTTCAGACTGTGACAGGTGGAGTGGGTTTCCAGCCCCCACCCGTGTGTACTTCAAGGACCTGAAATATTTATTGTATTTCAGGGTTTCATTAAGTTATTTGACAGAAAGATCAGCTGACTGTGAGGGCTCAGAGTCAGCTGTGACTTTGTATTTGTTTGTCAAACATGTGAACTCACAGCTGATAGGTGGAGGAATGTGGTTGCTAAGGTGAAGCTGTGGGCGCTGATGTCACAGATCTGAGGTGTGTCTGTATAAAAACAGCTGACAAGGAAACACAGCTCAGTTTGTTCTCTGGATGTTTAGTACAGAAGTTGATGTACAGAGGTCCAGTTTTATTTATTTTATTTTATTGTACTTTTTCTTTTTGCTCTTTACATTTTTTAAATATTTTATTTATTTATTTATTATTTATTTAATTCCATCATGATGATCAGAAAAGACTTTGAGGATTACAGATTTCATCCAGAAAAAAAGTAAGTGTTTGACTATTTTGTACAAGGGTGGACAAAGTTCTCTGTGGTTTTATGGAGGCTCCAGCTAAATGCTGCCTCCTCCATAGTACAATATACATTTTTATACAGTGACGTCATTTTGAAGTCCTTTGGCTGATGATGGTCTTTAGTATGTAGCTGATGGTTGATGATGAGAGAGGTGATGTTTGTGTTGTTCTGTGGAGATCATTCAAGAACTGAACCTGTTAAACACTCAGACCTGCTTTAGATTTCACCGCTTTAGTTATGAAGAACTTACTTATGGTCGTCCTACAAAATGATGCAAGTGTGGGGTATGAATATAATTATGAGTGAAAATAAAATGTTTCAGCTTTATTAAAACTCAAATTTAACCTCATGTAGTCATTTTTAAACTTTTTTTTTAAAACTGAGGTTCTGTTATTAACTGAAAATACCAACAGACTCACATATTTAGAACAAACTAAGAGTCAGATCAGCAGAAACAAAAACACGGAAATGTTTCCTGTAACTGCGTCGCTCTGCTCGACTTTGCTGATTCTCGGTGTCTTCGTGTTTGTCTCTGCAGGTGAGGTTTATAAAACAAACGGTGTTTCCCTCTGAGATAAAGAGGAACAAACATCAGCCTGGTTTACAAGTTACTTCCCAAACATTTAGTTTCTGAGCGTCTATTTGTGTGACGGCATCACGAGGCCTGGTGGTGTCTGTGGATTTACCCGCTTGGTCAGCGATACTGTTTCCAGCACAGAGACAAAGAAGTGTAACGTGTGTGTCAGTGTGATGTGTTGTAGTTTCAGGAGTCAGTATACAGCCAGAGGCCGATCTACAGAGGTGGCATGGAGTGGCATGCTCCACCCTAAAATGATCTCTTGCCACCTCTAGTGCCACAGTAGTTTTATATAGGACATTGTTGTTTATTAAGGTGTGGCAACAGATTATATTAGGCTGGCACATGCCTCTCTATGCCACCTCTGTAGATCTGCCCCTGAGTTTTAAATGGTTGTAAAAAGAAAAGTCAGAATCATTGTTTACATTGTAAGGCACATTACACAATGTTACACCTGCATATGTGTAAAGAAATGGTTTTGATTTTACGTTTGATTTCCACACCACCCTAAGAACATTTCATTACATCCAGCCCTGTATACAGCTACAAAGCTTTAGTTCAGTGTATACAAACAGCTGTAGCTCCTTAAAGGCAGCATGCAGAGACTCACAGTGTTTTATAATGAGAGGCTGCTTTCTCTCACACATTATGTTCACTTATTATTAGCACGTTTCACTGTATAAATGTTTATATAACACAGGTCCTGCTCTTATTTATTGAAAATGATACTACAGCAGTGAGTGTGTTTGTGGTCCTCTCATTGGCTGCTGTCGAAGTGAACAGTTGTACTTTGACCTTTAACCTCTCTGCTCTGTGTTGTTTTCACTTTCAGACCAGAAAATCATCACAGCTGAGCCTGGACAGAATGTCATGCTACCATGTCGAGCTCCAAACAACAGCAGCAGCATCACCGGTGTAGAGTGGAACAGAGCTGACCTGGAGACACAATATGTGCTTTTGTACCGGGATGAGTTATTTGACCCAGACAACCAGCATCCATCTTTTAAAAACCGGGTGGATCTGCAGGACAGACAGATGAAGGATGGAGACGTGTCTTTGATTCTGAAGGATGTGACGGTTAATGATGCTGGAACGTACGAGTGTCTTGTCTTCACGAGAGGAACAAACATGAAAGCTAACCTGGTGATCGTCACACTGAGTGTTGTTGATCCTCCAGGTGAGTGAGTAGAGTTTTGTGTGTGTGTGATCAGAGGTGAAGCTGCTTCTTTGATGTTTGTTTCTAAAGATGTTAGCAGGAAAACAGTAAATATCTCTGAGAAAGAGAAGTAGTCCGGTTTACACATTGCTGATATTTCTCAAATAAGTCATTACATTTCGCTGCCTTAGTTATGACGCACTTATTTATGTCATACAGGCCCACCTACCAAACGTCACTCTGATGCGACTAGGACACATCGAAAGTGTGGAGTTTGAACGAGTGGCTGAAATTCAAGTCTCTAAGCTTTATTTAATCCTCAAAGTTAACACTGTGTAGTCAAGTTTTAAATCGGGTTCTGTTATTCACTTAAAATACCAAGAAACTCAGACTTTTAGAACAAACTAAAGTGTCAGATCAGCAGAAACGGAGAACCCGGAAATGTCTGCTGTAACTGCGTCGCTCTGCTCGACTTTGCTGTTTGTCGGTGTCTTTGTGTTTGTCCCTGCAGGTGAGGTTTATAAACCAAATGGTGTTTACATGTTACTCCCTAAACAATTAGATTCATATCGAATCAGTTTGTTTGTTTGTGTGAAAATGTCACAAGTTTAGGTGAAGTAACGTGAATTTGACCGCTTGCACAGCGGTGCCGTTTCCAGCACAGAGCATGTGTGTGTCAGTGTGATGTGTTGTAGTTTCAGGAGTCAGGGACGTATCTACAGAGGTGGCATGGAGTGGCATGTGCCACACAAAAATAATTCTCTTTCCACACCTTGTGCCACCGTAATTTTGTAAATGACAATGTTGTTTATTAAAATAAGCTAGTATCGACACTTTGAACCTGGGTGCCACATGACACCTCTGTTGATCCACCTGAGTTTGCATTGGCATTTTAAGGCATATTACACAATGTTACACCTGCATATGTGTAAAGAAATGCCTTTGATTTTGCCAGCCCATGTGATTTTCCATGCAACCCTAAGAACATTTCTCTAGATCCAGCCCTGTATGCAGCTACAAAGCTTTTAGTTCAGTGTATACAAACAGCTGTAGCTCTATAAAGGCAGCATGCAGAGACTCACAGTGTCTTATAATGAGAGGCTGCTTTCTCTCACACATTATGTTCACTTATTATCAGCACGTGTATAAATGTTTATATAACACTGATTCTTTCATCCATCTTATTTATTTGCTACAAGCATTCAGTGTGTTTTGTTCTTATTCCAATTGGCTGCCGTCGACGTGAGCAGTTGTACTTTGACCTTTAACCTCCCTGTTCTGTGTCGTTTCCTCTTTCAGACCAGAAAATCATCACAGCTAAGCCTGGACAGAAGAGCGTCACTCTTCCATGTCGAGCTCCAAACAACAGCAGCAGCATCTCAGTTGTAGAGTGGAGCAGAGCTGACCTGCAAGATGAATATGTGCTTTTGTACCGGGATGACCTGTTTGATCCAACCAACCAGGATCCATCTTTTAAGAACCGGGTGGATCTGAAGGACAGACAGATGAAGGATGGAGACGTGTCTTTGATTCTGAAGGATGTGACGATTACTGATAATGGGACATATGTGTGTCAGGTCTTCACGAGAGGAACAAACATGAAGAAGAGAGCAAATTCGAGGACTGATCCCATCAGCATCATCGACCTCAGAGTTGTTCCTCCAGGTGAGTGAGTAGAGTTGAGTGTGTGTGTGATCAGAGGTGAAGCTGCTTCCTGGTTGTTGATGTTTGTTTGTAAAGATGTTGTTGATGAGACTTTGTAGAAAGCAGCTGGTCTGAGTGATGTGATCAGAGTGCAGTAGATAATGTCTGACAGCAGTTTGAAGAGCAAATGGATTCTGTTCTTCACTCATCACCTACCTGACAGCTGACACCTCACACCTGTTTCTCACCTGCAGGAGGACCTGTTGGACTGATCGTCGGTCTGAGTGTTTCTGCTGTGCTTCTTGCTGCTGCTGTTGTTGTTGGTTTTCTGGTCTACAGAAAATGTAAACGACAGAACCGAGATTTTAACTAACATCCTGATGAACATCAGCAAGTTTGAAATGTCCCAGAGCTTCTTACATGGTGAAGTTGGATAAGAGAAGCCTACATTACTAAGGGAAAAACACAGGAGTACTGACTGACTGAAGAAACATAAACACCAGAGTCCAAGTGAAAAACCAGAAATTTGCTTCATTCCAAAAATTCCACGGCAGATACAACATTTAAATAAAACGTTGTATCTGCTGTCCTTTCTGCAAGTAAGAAGGAATAAAAAAGATAATGAAACAATTATTAAAAATTGCGGGTTAAAATAAATAATGTTCTCCAGCACCTTTGGGATGAAATTAGACCCAAAATGATCCAGGAAGGATCAAAGACATTTTTTTAACATCAGGCTTAGAGAAGATACTGAATAATGTTGGAAGAAGTGTTGAATCCTTCATCATAACTGTATTTTTTTGTTTGTTTGTTTGTTTGTTTGTTTGTTTTGTTTTGTTTTTTTTTACATCTAATGGAATGTAATTACATGGAACACTGAACATTTTTTGCTTATGATGTATGGGAGAATTGTAAATTGATATGATTATTATTATTGTTATTATCGCAGCTGGATCTAGTGTAGGAGCTAGTAGCTAGTCTGGAGCTAGTCTATTGGTAAGACTACACACCTTTGGAGCAGGAGTCCCACCCTGTATCCAATAAGGGTCCTGGC